TTGAAATGGCAAACCAAAGCTACATAAGTCACTTATGTTTTCTTCTAAGAGAAAAATATTTCTATTTACTTCACATTTTTGTTACTGCCTAATAAATTCAGCTGCTGAAGTTTTATTAAAATATTATTTAAAAGATTAGCGTAAGATGAGAAAAAATAGGCACTCAATTTTTTTAACACTCACAAATTAAGTTGTATATGTCATTCTGGTTCATTTACAAGATTGGAACCTAAATACATTTTAAAACATTGTCCCATGTATACTTTCTAGCATCTGTGAAATTTTGTATACCTTTTCCTTGTGAAGTTGAAAAACATTTTTTTTAAATTGAGCTCAGATTAACAAGGCTGCTTTTGTTTGACAACATTTCAACGCAGGTATTTCAGTGCCTTATCAAGGCAACACCACTCTGTTTATGAACCAAATAAGCAAAGGTATTAGTGCACCTATGGAAATAGCACAATCGTCAGTTAGAGTCACAAGAGAATGTAGGAAACAAATGTTTCTGTTGCTTTATAAAAAATAGATCCCAGATTCCCTGTTTGCAGACACATGAGACCTCACTAGGATTAGGGTGGCTGTGGCTAGAAGAGTCATATATCTGAAAAAAACATACTTAAATCACGTGGGGGGTGCAGAAATGCTGAAGGATTCTCAGTGCCTTAAGTCCTGGGCACATTATTCCCTGAGACACTTGAAAATGTCACTGGTTCTTTTTATCACAGTCTATACTTTCTTACTGTTATCGTTCACCTATAGTCCTTTAATCCTCATTTTGTTGTACTGTTTTGACATCATTGAAGGCTAGATTATATTTAAAAAGCCACATCCAGGATATAAGGAAGTACTGAGGCATATCGTGCTCAAAGGGGCTTGGTTTTGGTACAGTGGGTCTGATTCTCCTTCCACTTAACTTCACTGTGAATCCAGATTAACTTCATTGAAGTATTATACCAATATGAAGCTGCTGTGAATGAAAGGAAGATTAGCCCCTCTACCGCCAGGAGACCAGAGCAACCCCCAATAAAGTAAGGCCAGAGAAGGATAAGAACAAAGCTGTCACACTATCTTACTATTCACTGTCAGGAGATAGGAACTGGCACTAAGGAAAGGAAAGAAGCACTATGTGTTACTTGTCTAAAAGTGGAGCCGAGTTTTTTGTGCTGTCATGAGTGTGTCAGTAAAAGACTTTTCAACAAAAATTGAATAAAATTGTATTGTGTGGATTCTAATACACTTCAAAGTGATGAACCATGCCTCACTAACAAAAGTTATAAAGTGCTATCCAGCATACCATAAAAAAGAGTAACAGAATCTGGCCCAAGATGTTTGAAAGAAGATATATTTTATTTATGTTTATTTTTATATTATATTCATCTGTTATGTTTGCTTTTCTTCACTGTTATCATAAAAGACTAAGCTTTAAAACAGCTTGTTGTGCTAAAAGAGCTGGTTAATATTTGCTGCCTACTAAGGTGCATTAAGTAAGAAAGATTTCATCTACTGCTTAGTTATTATTGCACAGTTATAAAGTTCAAATTTTGCTAAGTACTGACTTGGCAAATATAAAGGTCATAATAAAATAAAGACTTTTAGAGCAAGGTGTAACTTTATTGAATTAATCTCAGTACACCAGACGAAGTTAGCTTCATGAGATTTTTATATATATGAAAGCTCCAGGGATTTTTTTTTCTTCCTTTCAGTTTTCTTGCAAACATTAAGAGAATCTATAGATCTAAATCAAGAATATCATATCTTTTTTTCTTAAATTATAAGAAACTTGGCACTCTTCATAACCAATGCCCAGTCAATGGTTCATGGTAGAAACAGCGTCCAGAATGGCCCCAGAAGATTTCTGTTACTGCTGCTGTTGCTGAAACTTAGAACTAAATAAAATGGCATAACTTTTATATAAAAAATACATGGCTATGGGGATACACCAGAACAGAGAACAGAGCACTTTTTCTGAAATGTCCAGATCAACCAAAATTCAGTAAGTAAAGGGAAATACATTTATATTAGTTAGCCAAGGTAATTATATGACTAAATATTTACCTGTAATCATTTTAGTAGAACCACCCATGTAAAATTATTTTCTTTATACAAATGCGTGTACAGCTCTAGTATCATTAAATTCTTCCAAATGCTGATGTGTTCTGTATGGGTTTAGCATGGTGTGGAAGCAGAATATGAAATCAAAACATTGAAGCTGTGGTTACTTTTAGAGGCCATTGTTTCTCCACTGTGAAAGGGTTTCAGTTATGTTAGCATGTACCATGTTAATCATTAGAGGCCAGATTTTGACAAAGAATATAGAAATTGAAAAAATATGTAATATAAAGGCATGTGAACTGTAAATACAGTTGAAAATGATTCAGCTGTTTAAATAATATAATCAAAAAAATATTCCAAATTAATTCATGTTCTCCATTACCCTGAACATGGATTAATTTAGATGATGGGGGTGCATCTATATGTGCAAATTAGCGTGCCTAAATAAACTCTGGGACAGCTTGTACCAGAGTCAGCTGCTCCCTGCAGCAGCATCTTCACATGTGCCCAGCCTGGGGCTCGCAGCAGGCTTGAGGGGTCAGCCCTGAGCTCTGGGTGGCAGTGTCAGACCTGGCTGGGGCACAAGTCTACCCGAAGTATGGAGTTGTGTGGCTGACCCCTTGAGCCCACTGCCAGCCCAGTGCTGATTCACCTCAGCTGAAACTGCTGTGGTCCTGGTCACCATCCACACAGACTTTCTGCACAGTAAATACTCTGTTGTAAGATAGTACTGTCCCCAACAGTACTATCTTACAGCAGGGTTAATTAATTTACTGTGGCCTAATGCTAGCACATGTGTAGATGATGACACTTTACTGTGGATCTAATTAGTCAGCTCTGCAGTAAAGTGTTCATGTAGATATACCCAGGAAGAAGTAAATGGAGTCAGGAGACAAAAAGCAACTTTTATATTTTCCTTAAGAGAGCTATCACTTGTCTAATTTATGGCAATTTATTTGGTGGGGGGGGGGGTTCTTTTGTTTTGTTGTTTTTGGAAATGTGACAGGGTTACCTAAAAATTGTTTTATTTTGCTTATTTGTTTGTGCACACTTAGGATTTTCTCCGTTTATAGTAAAACCCATAAGAGAAATCCCCCTTATTAGGAAGCATCCAATCTAACAAACTCCTGTGAACTATACTTAAATATACTAAGTCTTTTAAAGTGCATACAAGCGTTACACTTAGATCGATAGAATTTAGCGTAGTAGAAATGCTAGGTGTGCAAACATTCACAACATTTAATCCAGTCTAAAAATTTGTATACATTGTTTAAAATTAAACATTGTCCTATTCAGTCTTACTCTAGACCAGTTGGGGCTAGACTAATTTAACGAGCACGTGTATAATTCTCCTATCAACAGAAGTTACCCTGCTGTCCTCCAGCATCCCAACATACACTGCTCTCCTGTTCCCCACTCCTCCCCTCCGCAGGGACATGTTTGGCCCTCAAGTTACATTCTACTGCTACAGCCAAGCACAGAAGTAAACCTCCTGCTGGTTGTCTCAGGACAAAGAAAGCCTTGCCCCTCTCCCTAGACCCCCTTTGCACTCCAGACTGCAGGGAGATATAGGGGGGGCCAAGGCAGATGTGTCCCCTGCACATGACCCAGACTTCTGGACACCTGAAACCCTAGGCCAGCCCCCTGCACCCCCAAGATCCAAAGACCCCATCCTGAAGCACCCCATTCGGATCTAAATACACAGGCCAGAATACCCCTAAGACTCAAATATGGACCCAAAACCTCACAACGAAAGATCCAGATGCAAATACCCTATGACCCAGACTTCAGCACAGACTCACACCCAGAGTGAAGGAGCTGGTGCTGGTGTTTTATGTCTGGCGTGGAGGGAGAAGAGTGCAGTCAGACAGTATTAGTATAGTAGTATCAGATAGTATTAGACTGGCAGGGAGGTGACTATGAAATTCATGGTTTGGCAGAGCTTGGATGGACCAGTCACTGACAGCCTATACCCCGGTCATGGGAGTTCAGGGCATGGGTGGGTGTTCTTGGCATGGTTGTTGCTGGCAGGTAGATGCCCCCTACAAAATTCAGCAATTTAGGGGCGGAGAGGGGGGATGAGGGCGTGGCCAGCCAAGCTAGGGTCAGCAGGTAAATGCCCCTGGAAGGTTTGGGGCTTGGGAAGGTATGGCCAGGCATCTTGGGCACATCAGGTAGAAAACCCAGGTAGCCCCTGGAAAGTTCAGGGCTTGGGGAGGCATCTTAGAGTGGCAGGTAAAAGCCCCCAGAAAGGTAAGGGAGAAGAGGGTGTGGTCAGCCAAGCTGGGGTCACTCTAAAAGGGGAGGCACACCCAAGCAGACCCAGACCCGGACTCAGTCTGAGTAGGAACCATGCACCAAGACCCACATCCATGTGTCCCCACTTACACCCTTACAGCCAAACTGTCACCCAACCATTGACACCCAGACCCCATGGGGCACCACCCAATGCCACAGTAGAGCCCAAGCCATTATCATCTGCTACCTAGAGCTGGGGACAAAGCGGGACTGTTGAGGAGATGACAGATTTTGTTGCCACCTAGGACAAGGAGCAGATCCAGGAGCAGCTGCACAGCATGCAACACAACAAGGAGGTGTTCCAGTGGATTGCCAAAAAGTTGAGAGTGCGGGGCCACAACCAAACCTGGACGTGGTGCAGGGCCAAAACTAAATGGATGAAGACCCAATTCGTATATATGAATTGATAAATGTATGTGTGTGGACACACACATACAGGATAGTATGTGATGTTTGGGGGCAAAAGAATGCATCTTTTTCACATATATATGTGAGAAGAAAAGACAGAACAAAAATATATAGGTAATCAATAAAAGTGCTATAGACTGGAACATTGTATTTTCTTCTCTCTGTGTCAGAAAAAGAATTTAGCTTCTTACAGCAATTGTGTCCCTCAGATAGTTATTGTTGATATTGAATTGTTACTTCAGATAAACCTGCAAAGGAAGATGAGAGTCACTGGAGTTATAACCCAAGGTGCTAAGAGGATTGGAAGCCCAGAATATATAAAATCTTACAAAATTGCATATAGTAACGATGGGAAATCATGGATGACTTACAAAGTAAAAGGCACCAATGAAGATATGGTAAGATTAAGTTGTCTGTCTGTGAATGAAAATCCCAAATATAGCTGACTTCCAAAAGCCTGAGATACCTCTAGTAAGTGAGCAAAACTACATGGGAGAGAAATCAGTTTTATATGTATTGCCTTATTCATTTTTTCTGAAAAAAGCAATAAATGTGTAGATTATGCCTGCCCAGAATTTCTTATATTTTAATTGATGCATCTATAAATACAGTGTCCCAAGGCTGGAATAATCCCATTTATTACACTTAACTAATTTTCATTTTAATTAGTTTACCAGTAATTACTCATTACTCTGTTTTCAATTTAGTTTTATTACATTAGCAGATTAATGTTAACCCTTAAAAGCAGAGAACCCACTTATCTCTGCATTGTAAGAACAGTAGCAGCCTATATAAAAGCTATTTTTACAATGTATTCAGAGCAGCAGTGGGGGGGGGGGGGGGAAACCCTCACTGTGCATGGTAGGATAGAGCTAAGTCATTTTGCAGAGCTGGACTGTTTCTGTCATGCAGGCAGGAAGAGGCAATGCTGTGTGGAAAAGTATATAATGATGGGAGAAAGCAAAGTGCAAGCCTATCTAGTTAAAGTCAAGTGAGAATAGAAGCATGCTTAAGGGCTTAATTCAACTCACACTGAAATCAATGGAAAGACTCCAGTTGATTTCACTGGGAGTTGGATCAGGTCCCTAAAGGCAGGAGGAAAAAATAAATGTCAGTCAGTGTTAATTAAAGCAGACTAAAGTGAATAGGGATGTTTTAATATACCAATTGAAAGAAAGATGTAATTTAGTGCATTTGTAGTTGGAGCATGCAAGAAGAAAGAGTGACAAATTAGAGGCCCCAGTTTAATAAGGTATGTAAACACACGCCTGTCTTCAAGCATGTGTAATCAGTAGTAATGTTTATTCATTTAGTTACCCTACTGAATCAGGTTGTTGTGGGCAGAATGTGAGAAGTTGTGAAAGGCAAAGCACAATTGAAATCTAGAGATAGCAAAAAGAGCAAAATGGATGGACATGAAGTTTTGAAAGTAAACTGAAGATCCTGTAGTCATCCTAACACATTTGAAATGAGTATATTTTTGCCACAGGTGTTCCGTGGAAATGTGGACAACAATACCCCCTATGCCAACTCTTTCACACCTCCAATCAAATCACAGTACATACGACTGTATCCCCAGGTTTGCAGAAGACACTGTACTTTAAGAATGGAACTTCTTGGCTGTGAATTATCAGGTGAGTTTTCTGGCAATAATGATATTCTCTCAGGAAAAAAATATGTGCCAGTGGTTTAAAATAGTAATCAGCATACCCTTGGAATTACTTGATTGATATCTGTGAGGTTACGCTAAGTGTGTTTGTATCTGTTTATTTGTAATACATTTGTGATGAGCTAAGAGGACATATACATTGACAAACTGTGTTAACATACTGACATCAAATTATTTGTGACTTGTTGTTTGTTTATTTATGCTAGCTTCAGCAATTACCAGCAAAAATCAAGGCTCCATCGTACAAATACATATTGAGAGAGTCTCTGATGTGTCGACTATATTCTACAGAGACAAGACAAAATGTGGGAGAGGAAACAGGCATGGAGAAGTGAAGTAGCTCATTCAGACTTACTTGGTAGCAGTAGAGGTAGAAACTAAGCACAAATTTTCTAATGATCTCTAATTTAGTGTCCTAGTCACTGGGCCACACTGCTACTCAAGGATATAAAATCTTAGAAGTTGCAGGATTTATGTAGGTGCAGCTGAAGACCATTTGAAGTGAAGTAAAGTATATTGGGCCTGATTGCATTTGAGATTTGATTTGATTTGATTTAGATTTGTTTTGTGACTTTCCAGCAGAAACTGTAATTGTGTCTTGTAGCAAAAGTGAACTAGTGGAGCTGATATAAACCCTTTTAAGGTCTGAAGTAGCAGGGGTTATAGCCATAAATATAAAGCCTGACCCCTAGCTATACTCTGCAAGAACTATGTTCCTTGTACAAATTCAGTAAAACATGTAAATTCTTTATCTTTTTCCCAGGATCATCCTTTTACCAGTGGGAGTCCTACAGTAAATTCATTTAGGAGTGACTTTTATATGACTAGCTGCTAACTGTACAAACAGTAGTCATTCAGTTAACAAATGATATATCAAAACAGCCTAAGTTAAATAATTCTTGGTCCTCTGGTGACATCAAAACCAGATTCAGAAATGAAAAGTTAATGCATTAATCTCACTGAAGCCCTTTTCCAATATAGATAGATTTGAAAGTAAATAGAAACTCCTGTCTGGCTGGTTTAGTGTGTATTAGATTTTTTTTCATGTCTTCCATTTCTGGAACCACAATTTAGAATAAGTCCTTGCCAGAATGACCAGGAATTGTTTTGCTCAAAGAACTGTGAAAGCTACTAAAGTGAATTGATTTCAGTGGTCTCATATCAGTTTCAAGGTCACCATTTCTCAGAAATGAGGTAGAAGTGAGAGCTCACCAGGACAATTTCAGTCTCAACTGAAAGATAAATATAATTATATGTAAAGACAGACTAATTCACTCTAATTCCAGGTGATCTGTCTTAAGTTAGGGAGTATGTTTAGAGGTCTGGTCCTTTCAACTAAGTGCTGCTGCTGGAAAAAAGAATCACTTTTGAAAGAACTTGGGGGAAAAAAGATTTGCTGTACTTTTGATGGAGCAGGGGATTGTTTTTCTTTTTTTAAAAAATCTTTCTAATTAAAGGAAGATTAAAAATGGAACCTTTCTTAGGTCATGCTTCACCATCTATTAGGTACATAGCTAACTTTTTAAACATATAAATAGTACTATTTAAGTGGGGCTCCAAACACCTTTATATCACAACAAGCTCTTTCTATTTCCTTACAACAGCCACCTATAAAATAAGCATGTAGTAATTTCCATGGATTCTACTGCAAACCTCTGCACTTAGCATCAGGTTCTGCCACCCTTATTTATGATGAGTGGTACTTATTTCTGAGAGTAGGCCTATTGATATGGAAGGCACATTTATGGAGTAAGGCCCAATGCAGTTCAAATAAGGGGAGCAGAAATTGCCCTTGACTTCTGTTTGGTCATCACATTCTTGAATTGGGAAGGAACCCTACATGATTTCTTGACTCATAATGGACTGCCCATCAACAATTAGTATGTTGTTTTCATAAGCATTTTTAAATCTATTTATTTTTTATTAACATATAACAAACAGAAAACCATACAACATGAAGTAATTAAGGCAAAGCAGTCTTTGCATTAGGATAACTGGCCAGCTCAGCGCTTTCCATGCCTTTACAAACTCTGGCCTATGGCAAGACAGACAGTATTTGTGCACAAGTCTACAGATGGGAAATCTTCAATATGAATGTCTAGCTCTAGCACAGACTCAAAGTCTTTGCATAATCACATGAGATGCTGTATGTCTCCTATGAGGCACTGAGCTTTGCTAAAATCAATGGAAATTGACTCATCATAGGTGGTACAAGGCTAAACTGAAGAACAAAGTTACTAAACTACAAGACAAGGCTCTGGGGAGTATGCCATCAGTTCAGTACATGTTTTTCCAGTTTATAAACTGTAGCATACACCCCCCACTTGGCAAAGACCTATGTTCACACCTGCCTAGACTCAACTAAAATTTTTGAATTATAATTTCCATGAAATCCTTGTGCCACAAAGATTAAATAACAGGCCATTTTGCAGACAGGTGGCATTTTGCAGACAGGTGGGATACTTAAGGTGGGATACTGGGCCAACAGTTTGGCCCAGTCCACTCACCTTGCTGAATCTAGCCATTTATCTCTACATCTTTTACCCAGTTTGTAAAATGAGGGGAAATTACTGATAGGGTGTAGAACTGCAGAGCTGTGTGGCAGGCAGCCTCTGCGTGTTAGCACCCTTTTTCTCCAGTCAGTACCTGTCACCATCTACATGTACATTTTGGCAAAGTAAGTAACTGTGCCATAAAATAGTACTTTCCGCAACAGTATTATCTTATGGCAAAGTTAAATAATTTACTGCATTCTACTACTGGCACACATGTAGACAGTGATGCTTTACTGTGGAGCTAATTAGTCAATTTTGCAGTAAAGCACATGTATAAATGCACCCAATGGCCACGTTCACATGAGCATAGGCTTTTGGTTTCAAGAGGACAGCTAGCAGCAGCACACCATGTACCACCGCTGGTTGTCCCTGGGGAACACCTGTATCACATGCCCTCTGGCGCTCAGCAGGTTACCCCAGGTAGAGGGTAGGGGAGGCTGGGGGCAGTACTGGGCTGGCCTCAGCAGCCTTTCCTGTGGTCCTGGTGCTGCAGCACTGGCGATCCTGCCACTCGGAGCTTAGCCAGCAACCAGAGTGTAGCTGCACCTGGTCAGGCTCCAGTTTTGAGACGTGCATGCTGCCCATATGTGCACCACTCTGCTTTTTTTCTGCATGGGTTTTTTTGACCATCTGCCTACCCGCACTACTCCCTTGGAGCATGGAGAATAACTGAATGTGCAGTATGTGGTGCCACAGATGTGTCTGCAGTTCCATACACCACATGGCGGCACTTATCTGGATGCAGCCAATGAGAGCAGAATTTACCTGAAAGTCAGTCCTTTAGTCTCATATCCTATCTTCTACCTATTCCTTTTGCCTTAAGAGCCCTTTGGCCTAGCTGCTTCTCCATGATTGTGGTCCTGTTGTTACAGTGCTGCCATTTCACACTATTTCTCCTGCTACCATGACCAACCTATTTCCTTCAAATTCCTAATGCATCTTGTCTGTTTGTAGTGTAATATACCTCTTAATCCATTGCAGGTAGCCTGGCAGAGATATTTAACTTATTAAAGCTCGTCCATTCTATCTATGATTTTTTTCAAAGAAATCTAACAGAGAAGACTGGAAATGAGCAAGTTTCATCAGTACCTATTTTCATCTGTAGACAGAGTATATCAATTATGTGGTGTTTGCTTACATGATTTTAGTAGATTATATCTGCTTAAAACTTTAGAGAAAATCACCCTCCCACCACATTTTATTGTATACCATATTTTCTTATATATAGCATGCCTCCTAATATCATAACCACCTTGTTTTTGAAAGTTAGAATGAAAGAAAAAATATTTTTACAGAGTTATGGTTGCACAGAGCAAGGGCACAACTTAATTTTCAGTTGAATCACCCTCCGTTTTCTGCTTAACTAAAGCTTTAACCCTTGTTATTGGTGAAAGCTGGTCTCCAGAGATGGTTCTATAATACTGAAAAGAGCTAAGGAATCTCACAAGTAGCAGAGGAGAGGAAGGACTGGAGAGACTGGAAGCAGCTAGTGGATTGCAAAATTGGTTGCTTGATTAATGGAACATCAAGACCATTAAGAAGGGGAGCTGATCAATAACACCTGTGAAGTGAAGAACAAGGAGCCATTAAGTCACTTGACCCCCTCAGCTGCCTAATAGTATTGCTACACCTGCTACACTGTGGAATAGAAATCAAAGCAGTATGCTTCTCTCCTGGGCAGAAAATCAGCTTCCCCACTTAATACATGCATCCCAATTGGAGGTGCAGGGGGCTGTTTTGGGGGCCAACGATATGGTATATGTGAGAAAATACAGTAATACCTGTGGTCTTCACTTTACTACTGTTTTTTTGGTAAGATATCAAATAATGCAAAAGAGTAGATATTCTTAATATTCCAGGAATTTATTTCAGCACTAATACAATTAATAAGAAATACGTACTTATAGAACTCGTGGTACAGGTGATATCTTTTATTAGACCAGCTAGATTTTTGCAAAAAAAATCTTTAATTGCAAGCTTTCAGGCACAAACACCCTTCTTCAGGCATAGGAGAAAAGATTGTAAAAGTTCTCCTGGGTAGAAATGAAAGTTCATATTTTATAGGAGCGTTGAAGGTGTGGTAAAATTTCCTGTTTGGAACAGTTCATTTTATATGCAGAACAGCATTTGCTTTATAGAACAGCATTTTCTTAGTTCATTAATGTGGCAAGGTGTAAATCAATTGGTTGCTATACCAGGAGGGGTCCTTTATGTTAGTAAAAATATAGCTGAATAAAATGTTTTGAAATCACTGCTTTCTTTTACGTTTCTCCAAAATCTGATAAAATAAAATAGCTTGATTTAGCTAGTCTGTCTCTGTTTGTTTGCAATTTCCCACAAAGATGTTCATTATTAACACCCTTTCACTGGGAATTGCTTTCTTTCTTGTAAAAGAAAACCTAAGCCTCTTAGGAAGTTAAGTAAATAGTCTCATAGATTCATTTTCACTTTTTCAGGTTGCTCTGAACCTCTTGGGATGAAATCAGGACATATACAGGACTTTCAGATTTCGGCTTCTAGTATCTTCAGAACACTCAATATGGACATGTTCACTTGGGAACCTAGAAAAGCTCGATTAGACAAGCAAGGCAAAGTGAATGCCTGGACTTCAGGTCATAATGATCAGTCACAGTGGTTACAGGTAAAGTTTTATAAATATTGTTCCATCTGTTCATGTTTTATATATTACTGCATTGGAAACTTTAATGTTTTAGGATCCAGTCTTGCTTTCCTCATTTCAATGGTTGTGATCCATATACTTCTATGTTATACTGGGAATGAAGCAAAAGAGAACCCAAACTTCAGTAGACCTGTACATCACAGTGTAGCTGTCCATTGAAGGTTGATAGGTGCCAACATGCAAAACGATGCTGTAACAAAGAGTGCAAAATGGCATTAGCCAAACCTCCCATCCAGTCATTCACGAGGCACCCAGAAGCTGTATTATTATTGTTAATGGATGCCCCTGACTGGCTCCTTGACAGCTGGTTGAGAGAGATTTGTATTCTTCAGGCCTCAGAAAATTGGGGAAAAGCCCATTAACTTGAGCTTTTTACATTCTAAGTAGACTTGGCCCACAGAAAATACTTTAATTGAAACTATTAAAATTTATCTTTCCCTACCACCCATGAATCTAGTAAGATTGATTCAGTAAATTAATTCATTAGGAAGCTATGCACCTGGGTTGTTTTCAGCCTAAGAGTGATTTATAGAAGTTACTGGGAGACTAATGTGAAAGATAGCAACAAATCACTGTGTAGAAGCCTATTTGACCAGTCATTGCTATATTTACATTTTTGAACTGTTGTATATTGGAGTGTTTTGAATCAACTGCCAATTTGGAATACAATTCTCAGCATGAAACCTCCCCAGCATAAGAAGTGCACCACTAACCCCCTGCAAACTTTTCACATATAAATTATGACTTTATTAGCCTTCTTACCTACAGTTACTAAGTAATTTAGCAATGCAATTATTACCCCCAATCTCAGTTTATACACACAGGGGAAAGAAGTAGAGACTGCCTTGTCTGTTTATCATTTGAATAATTGACAATGTCTGGATTTGGTGAAATTTTCTTAAAATGGTCTCTTGAAACTTGGTGGTGTAAGAGAGATTTTTTTTTTAAAGAAAGAAGTAGTTTTATTTTGTAGAGAAACAGCAGGTGAGAGTCTCTCTTCACAAGCAAACAAAAAAAAGGTGGCCGTATCTGAAATGATTGCTGCCTCATTGCTGATCTCAAGGAGTTAACGGTATTCAGAGATTGGAAAAAAATATGTTGTTTTGCATTATTCCTAATGAGTATTATAGTGAATTTTTGATTATTTACAGATAGCAGAGTTGCAAAGCTGAAGAGGTAAAAGCAACTCTTATGCTAAGTACAGTCAAGTACAGCCCAAGGTGGAATCAGTTCAGTGTTTGCGGGGTTCTCTAAGCTGCGTAGAGAGAACCAATAATAAAGTGAACTCATGTTCAGTTTTCAGTTCAGTTGAGTTCACTTTTCAGTTGGGGAAAAGCAGGCAGAAGCCTGCACTGACCAGGCCAGAAGGCAGAGGCTGTTCAAGCATGTATCCCACCTTGCCATTGCCAGGCCCAGCTGAGCAGGGTCATTCACTGCCCGCTCACTGCTACAGATAGTACAGGCAGCCACAGGTAGTCAGGGGACAAGGGGAAAGTCAGTGGGGATCTGGGGAAAGGCTGGGGGCAGGGAGTGGGCCTGATCTGGGCCAGCAGGGGAAGTGGACAGGCCCTGGCTCAGCACCAAGACAGAAGCTCCTTCCCCTCTCCTCCTGCAGGTCAGAGACTGGCAGGGAGCAGAGCTCAGCAGCCAGACTGGCGGTGTGGGGAGGAGGGGGAATTCCCCCATGCAGATTGATGCCCAGCTTGGCATGCCGGCACCAGGGTGGGGGTCTCTTTCCCCGCCTTCCCGCCACGTGTCAGTAACTTGCAGTGGCCCAGCCATGCAGTGTGGGAGGGCAACTCTTGCAGACCAGGGCTCAGCGACAGGGGCTGGGGTGGGAAGAGTCTGTTCCCTTGCCTTTCCTCCCCTTCTCTCCCATCCCGCCAGCCAGACATGTACAGACAGGATGCAGGACTGTGAAACAGAGGCTTTGCTGCCTTGGCTCTACAGCAGGCCAGGAGTACAGCCAGCCCTGCTTGGCTGGAACAGATAGCATAGGTCAAAGCTAACCTACCAACAGATATTCAATAAACTGATGTAACCTAAATCAATTAAGTCTGATACTACATCCATCCACGTTTGTCTCAAACCAGTTTTGGCCATTTTGAAAGTGGTTTATTTGCTATGAACTTCTGTTGTGTTACAGATTTTAAACCAGTTTCTGATTACTTATACCGGTTTGTGTGTACTGTCTGGCCCTAGCCTTAGCATCTAACTTTCTCTGTTTTCTTATCTTTCACCAAACCCCTTCTCTTTTCTCCAACCTGCTTGAATACACAAATTGATTCACCCTGCAACCACAACACTGGTGGCAGGTTTTCTATAGGTCTGAAAAAAGTTGTCCCTTTTCTGATTAACCTATGCAAGAAACCTGAATGTTATTTGAAATCTGTAAAGATGCATTCTGTTGTTTTATTTAACTTTTTATAATATGAATTGTAGAAGCAAAATCATAGGAATATAAATATTTATTCTATTATCTCTGTTAACATGCCATAGAAGACTAGACACTATTATATTTTTGGTACTTTTCCTTGAGAATGTGATCACTGTGGCTAAGTATAGACAGTCAAAAAGCCCAAGACTGAATCAATTCAATCTTTGAGGTTTAAGTAAGTTAACAGATTCACTTTTGATTCTGGAAATGCAACCACATGCAGTGGCCCAGGCCGGAAGCCAACATGGCGCGGGAGGGAGGAGGAGGGGAGGTGAGCATGCTTACCTGTTGGGCTGGAGCAAACAGTTCGGGCTTAGGCTATCCTGCCCACCCTGTGAGAGGGGGTTTGCTGGGAGTTGCAAATCATCCTTGAATGCTGGGGGACTGTGAGTTAACTTGAATCTGGAGGGGATCTGGGAAAAGAAGCTCAGTAAATCGATTTCACCTAAATCAGTTAAGTCTGATACTACATCCATCCAGGTTTATCTTAAACTGGTTTTGAGCATTTTGAAAGTGGTTTATGTGCACTGAACTTCTGTTGTGTTACAGATATGCACTGGTTTCTGATCACTTATACTGGTTTATGTGTAATTTCTGTCCCTTGCCTGGGTGTCGGAAAAACAAGAGACATTAAGCGATTTGAGCTTTCAATGTATAATCTAGTTGTTAAATTTTACTGCTGTCTAAAGGTTTTGAATTCATATGCTTCAGCAAAGATGTGGCCAATTGTTTCAAGACTAGCAATAATATGAGTATGTCATTTAAAATTTCTGAGTCTTTGGTGTTCTCTTTGCTGCTGACCCTCTGAGAAATTCTGCTTATACTTATAGTATAGTAGCCTTCTAACAGAGTGATTGCATTTTTATCATAACACTACTTTCATGAAATCTAGTCAGATCTTATTTGTAGGAAAAATTTTGTAAAAGCTTTTTCCCTCACCACTGTATATTACTAGAAGTTCCTGATAACTGTTCCAGAGTTAAGATTGCATTTCAAAGTAGGTACACAATTAGGCATAAATTCCTGCCAAAGTAGGTGGCCAATCAATACAAAATTTCACAAAGAATCAGATTTCCATGACCCTTGATTTTTTTTGTGTGCAGTGTGTTTAGTTTCTCTTTTGATATCCCTATTAGATAATCTACAAAATTAGGTTATTTATGAAATGAGTCTTCAGCATTTCAACTTTTCACTGTAGACTACTGTATTTTAAAAATACGCTAATATTGCATCTTTACATAATATTTTAGTAGAGAAGGTCATTCTAAGTAGGTCTGGTGCAAGACATAGTTATGTTGCAGGTAGCCTTGATTTTTTTTAATCAATTCTAGTTATCATAGTTAAAAGGTTATATGCCAGTGATTTGCAACAAAGACTGTGTGTGTCAAGTTCCTAAACTTTATCTATTATTTTGGGGTAACTTTTAGTTCACAGGAACTTATGAATAAAACCTAAGGCTAATATATTTTTTCATCAGCAACTACTTTTCTGTTTCAACTCAAGAAATCTTGCACCAGTTTTAATAATTACAAATAGCAATTAATATTAAAATATCTTTCTTATGAAGCAATTAGTAGTCCTGTGCTCACACTATAGCTGACTCAAAGCTAGAAAAGCAAGGATAGAAAAGGTTAGGTCACCTACCAGTATATATACCTGCCAGTATATATTATCTACACCGAAGCCAACAGCGATGTGTAGAAAAGGTTGATGAAATCCGATGGCTTGTTTTGGGTAGAAGGTCAGGCTAGATAATCATAATTATATTTTTCTGACCTTCAGATCTCTGAACCTATGTTTCTACCATAGACTTTCGCAGAGTCTGCATATGAATTGCAATGGGTCAAAATATTGTGTCAGAATTCCCAATGCCTGGTTAACATGAACCTTTCTTTATCCCTCTGTTGCAGGTAATGGCATAAAAGCCACCCTTTGATACTACTAGCTTATTTCACATCTATACAGAATCTGCTGCTGAATAGCTATTTGATAACCAGGAACAATACCTGTCCCAATTCTTGCCATTTTTTATTTCTTTATGTACACCTGACCCAGCCTAACAACAATAACATTACTGGGCTAGAACCTCATAATCTGTTTATTTTAACAATTACTGAAGGGGAGAAATACCTTCAAGAAACCTTGTACCCATCAAGATAGTCCATAGAACAGTAATATTAACAAAACAAAGATTTGTTAAAAATAGACAGGAAATTGAGTTAGAATAAAAGAACTGGCTTGCTTAATGTACCTGGATATATACTTCTCTCAGACTATGGTAGATAAAAAACCTTTTCTACTTGGATACAGAGACCAAAAGAAGTCAATAGCTTATATCCCATGAAAGCAATCTTTTTCTCTCACCACTCTGGTCTGCATGTCAACACTGTCTACTGCCTACACACCAAGTCCATGTGGCAAAGCTCTTATCAAGTCCTTGTAACTGGAGAGCTTGCAAGTTCAGATATGCCTCTGTTGATACAGGGCAGCCACCTCACTTCCCAAATCAGTTTCCTCCAGTGAT